ATGGGCCTTCCGTACCAAGAGCCACGTGGCGCTCTAACACACTTCCGGCCTGTAAGGCCCAGAACCATGTCCGCACATGAGAGCCGAGGGCAGTGCCAGGCCTTGAGTCCGCATGTGTAAATGTCATCCTTTGGGCAGGCTGTGCGCCAGTGCTTCTTACTTTTTCAGGATGTCGAGGGGGGGATAAGGTGAGGTAGTCTTCCCAAACCCCGGAGTCAGCTGCCAGGATGTTTGGCCCAAAGTCCCTGGCACAGAAGGAAGTGCTAACCGGCTTCCCCAATGTACTTGCCCCATTGACCCCCACCTACTAACTGATAGAAACTCCTATTTCAACCTGTGGCCGATTTGTGAAGCGGGCTCACTCTCTCGATTCATCAAGCACCGCCAAGAATCTCTCGGTTGAAGATCTCCCTCTGCTGAACAGACTTGGTTGCCTTGTTTTTCCTCTGCTGCTTCATGCGCTCCTTGGTAATCACGCAGCCCAGGCAACTTGGCAGGAAGGCAGAAAGGAAGGAAGGAAAGAGGGAGGGAGCGGTTGAAGGAAGGAAGGAAGGAAGGAAAAAAGAAATCGAGGAGGAGCAAGAGCAAGGGTCAAAAACATGCGCAAAATCACATCACTGTCTGTAAGCCCGCATGGTTTGGCATGATTATGTGCATTGCCACAACACCAATGAAACAACAAATGCTCAACTCATCAAGCGGTAATGCTGACGGTTGGCCGAACGTGCTGCCCCCCATGTGTCAAATGCCAAAAAGTGAGGCGAGGCCATTCCCAGCCCCAGAACCGGCTTTGACAGCCACTGACCGTCACACGTCTAGCACCCAACCAAGCGGCCTTGCGCTCCTGCCAAGTGCCAGGCGCCAACCAAAAAAACAACACAAACCGTGGAAAACCACTCCCTTTGTAAGCCGCCATCTTCCAAACCTGTTCCATCCGAATTCGCCAACATGAGCCACACCCGAGCACAAAAAACCAACCAAATTCACGAGTGCCGCTGGAACACAAAGTGCTAAATACGAAGGCGGTACTGTGCTAGAGCTGCAGGTTGTTGAGTTCAAGCCGCTTGAGCAACAAACCGAAAAGAAGCACAGCAACCATAAGGGACCCTCACATTTGACAAACCACAGTATGTCGATGGTTTGGCTGGATCCCTGCGTGGCCTTCCTCAATTATGGCATGGCGAGGTCCAAACAAACATGAGCATGCCCCCTGCATAGCCTGTTGAAAAAAACACATGCTCCAATAATCCTGAATGTTTTCTTATAGGAATGACAGTAGCCCAGGCTAGCGGTGAGCAGCACACATGTTGTCAAATGTTAGCCTCGCGCCCTCTTCAGAAGTTCTGGCTTCGAAGTGAACCATTGACAGACCTACCCTCTCTCTCTCTCTCTGTGTCCGCCCCCTGCTCCTTGTAAGCGGCCTCAGGTGGTCGCAACCCGACACGTTGCGTAAGTGAGGGTTCTTAACAGCGGCTGTCCCTGATATATTCTCCACTTACAAGACCAGTGCATGATGAGTGCAAGAATGTGGCCAACCATGCGGGAATGCTCGTGCAACAAAAGAACTCTGGCATGCTGGCAGTGTCCCTGCCTCCGTCTACGAGATGTGTTCCTGATTGCGGTTGTTTGCTGTTGTTTGCTGGTGCTGCTGCTGTTGCGGTTGTTGCTGTTGGTGCTGCCGTTGCCATTGCCGTTGCCGGTTCCGTTGCCGTTGTTGTTGCTGCTGGCTGCTGCTGTTGTTGTTGCTGTTGCTGTTGCTGTTGCTGTTGCTGTTGTGGTTGTGGTTGTGGTTGTGGCTGTGGTTGTGGCTGTGGCTGTGGCTGTGGCTGTTGCTGTGTTGCTGTTGCTGTTGCTGTGGCTGTGGCTGTGGTTGTGGTTGTGGTTGTGGTGGTGGTGCTGGTGGTGGTGGTTGTTGCAGTTGCTGTTGCTGTTGCTGTTGCTGTTGCTGTTGCTGTTGCTGTTGCTGCTGCTGCTGCTGCTGCTGCTGGTGTTGTTGTTGGTGGTGGTGGTGGTGGTGGTGTTGGTATTGGTATTGGTATTGGTATTGGTATTGGTATTGGTATTGGTATTGGTATTGGTATTGGTATTGGTATTGGTATTGGTATTGGTATTGGTGTTGGTGTTGGTGTTGGTGTTGGTGTTGGTGTTGGTGTTGGTGTTGGTGTTGGTGTTGTTGTTGTTGTTGTTGTTGTTGTTGTTGTTGTTGTTGTTGTTGTTGTTGTTGTTGTTGTTGTTGTTGTTGTTGTTGTTGTTGTTGTTGTTGTTGTTGTTGTTGTTGTTGTTGTTGTTGTTGTTGTTGTTGTTGTTGTTGTTGTTGTTGTTGTTGTTGTTGTTGTTGTTGTTGTTGTTGTTGTTGTTGTTGTTGTTGTTGTTGTTGTTGTTGTTGTTGTTGTTGTTGTTGTTGTTGTTGTTGTTGTTGTTGTTGTTGTTGTTGTTGTTGTTGTTGTTGTTGTTGTTGTTGTTGTTGTTGTTGTTGTTGTTGTTGTTGTTGTTGTTGTTGTTGTTGTTGTTGTTGTTGTTGTTGTTGTTGTTGTTGTTGTTGTTGTTGTTGTTGTTGTTGTTGTTGTTGTTGTTGTTGTTGTTGTTGTTGTTGTTGTTGTTGTTGTTGTTGTTGTTGTTGTTGTTGTTGTTGTTGTTGTTGTTGTTGTTGTTGTTGTTGTTGTTGTTGTTGTTGTTGTTGTTGTTGTTGTTGTTGTTGTTGTTGTTGTTGTTGTTGTTGTTGTTGTTGTTGTTGTTGTTGTTGTTGTTGTTGTTGTTGATATTATTGTTGTTGTTCTTGCTCTTGTTCTTGCTGTTGTTCTTGTTGTTGTTCTGGTTCTTGTTGTTGTTCTTGTTGTTGTTGCGGCTGGCGCTGGTACTGGTGTTGGTGTTGGTCTTGGTCCTGGTGCTGGTCCTGGTCTTGGTGTTGCTGTTGTCGTTGTTGTTGTGGTGGTGGTGGTGGTGGTGGTCGTTGCTGCGGCTGCAACTGGTACTGGTGTTGGTCTTGGCCCTGGTCTTGGTGCTGCTATTGCTGTTGCTGTTGTTGTTGCTGTTGTTGTTGCTGCTGCTGCTTCTGCTGTACACCGTTTTCTGCTGTACACCGTTTGCCTACAAAAATACCGATGCAAGCAGCGCACGGTGTCAACTGCGTCTCCAAAAACAGACTGCGTTTCCAAGAAGCAGAACCCCAGTGGTGCTGTTGCTGCTGTTACACTGTTGCTGTTGCTGTGTTGGATACATACATATATATATATATATATGTATATCGAATCATATAGTCTCAATTGCGTAGATCTGCGCCAAGCAGCCACGCGATCCTCCATACTGCGAGCTTCGTTGTTGTCTTGATAGCCGCCGTTGCCGTCCCGATCGCTTCGATCGCCCTTCTCGGAGTCGAAGGTGTTACTCTGACTGGTGGTACACGTAGTGGTACACACCGACATGTAATGCCTCACAGTCCGGGTCGCTGTTTCAGAGAATAAACATCCCTTGCAAGTCGACTGCCAGCACAGATTGGGACACCCACCCCCCAACAGAAAAAAAACACACACTCAACCCACATCCATCAAGGGAAACAATGACCACGTGGTCCGCAATGCAACTGCTTCACATGCAGTACTCCCCTGGCAGCCAAACATGAACCTCTGCCTGGTTCTTTCCAAGGAACTCCCCAGAGCTGGCAGCACTGTTTGCCATGGCGCACGCGGAGTCTCCGCAGGTTGCGGATCCGGGGATGGAATGAGATCTGTTTGGGGCAAGGGTGAGGTAGGCTGGTGGTATCGCATTGATCTGAAAGTCTGGGTCGAAGCTTTGTCTGGGAAAGTCAAGCGATATCAAAAGAACGAGAAAGAAACACCCCTGGAAGGCTTCTGATTGCCTAGCGGGGTGGCACAGGACACCACCGGTCGATGCAACGCAACGCCGGCAGTGACCCAGTACCCTTCAGCCCATCTGCAGAGCGTGCACCATGCTTCAAGGCTGATCGCCAAGCAAGCCATTGCCAAGAACCTTGGTTTGGTGTGGTTCATTGACATTCCAGTGGCCCCAGTGTGCTATGACAATCCGTCAACTGCGCAGGTCTAGTCCTCTGCTGGCAATGCAGGCAACGAAAAGGCAAGCGCAACACGGAGCCATTGGCAGATGTCATGATGACAGCGGGTATCTATGACTAAGATCACTCTCAACGGACCTTCACAACCTACCCAAAACGGTGTGGTCTGTGTTGAGTGCTGAGCCCCTCAAGGCCATCCCCCGCGGCTGAGAAGGTTGGCAATAATGGTGGGCAAAAAGTAAGTTTACCACAAACAGACCCAGCCTACGACAAGCAAGGGTGTCATAATGAAATCTTGCAGTGCGTCACGCTTCTCCGAAGACGCAAGCCTCGCAGCGCCTATCACTGATCTCACAGCCCCCTCACTCGTGCACTAATAGCTTTGCTACGGCGAGAGTGGAGGTCCGTGCCTTTCCATTGCCGCGAACACGTTCCGCCCTTCAATGGTCTAGAGGGCTGAAGCGAAGCCCCCTTCTGTGCATGCATGCGGCAAGTAAAGGCGTCGGGCCCGCATCGAGTCTACACCTTGTCTGTACACTATAGAGGTGTGCTGCGCTGACTGATGGTGGTGCAGGTTTCTCCTGAATAAGGGCCCGGTTGGAGAGAGAAACGAAGAGTCTCATCATGTCTCATTCACAGAAAGTCCGCCACATTTGCTGAAGCACTAAACACGCCAACTCCAACAGCCGTGTCTTTACACGCAGCTTGTGGCGCAATAGCCCAGCCTGGCCTTCTCTGAAGGCAAGGCTGAGCTGAGCAGTTTACGCCAGCGCCAAAGCTGAAAGGACGCCTATTTCAGCTCCCATGTTGAGAGTAACCATGTGGTATCAGGTGGCGCCATGTCTTGCACCAAGCGATGCAGGAGCTTTACTTGCCATGCAAATGCCATGCTACCTCCGTCGCGCAAGCTGACTGTGAATGGCCTGTTGTAGCTCATCCATTTACTTTGGCGCAGCTGTACCACATGGAGTTACTCCTCTTGGTTGTCAGACAGCAAAATGCCCACGACTTGTCCACTGCATGCGGCAGCCTCCCCAGGTTGCCACGAAACAGAGGCTTGCAGCGCTGATGCTTTTTACTCACTGGATATCTTGGAGCACGTCCACAACTCACACCTCATACGTGCTAGCTAAAACACGACAGCGTGGTACTGTTGTTGACGATCCAACGGAACATCTGCATCACAACTCTGAGGTAGCTTCAATATCGTGCCAGGGTCGAGTGAATTGTAAAACACACACTAACCACTGAGCCACTGTCAAAAACACAAACGCGAACATCAAGCAAGCAGCAACCTCACCGACCACCCCCGGCTCCCACACCCCTGGCCTTTAGGGCTCCATAGCCCGTGGGTGGCTCCTCTGCAAAGCGGCCAGCAAGACGGACCCCGAGCTTCCTTGGCTGGCTGGGCCGTCGGTCAAAATTTGTTGATCTACACCTGCCTTGTTGAAAAGGTCTGAAAGGGAAACCTGAATAACAACGTGACAGTCTTCCAACAAGGTCTTACAATCCTGGATTGCTGCGTGTGAAGAACCCTCCACTGATAGAGAGATATATATATATATATATATCGATGCCCGCCCTCAGCACATACTGCATATATATATATATAGATATATGTATATATGGACGCACTTGAAGCCAAAGCACGGGGAGACTTGCCGCCCAATATACCTGTTTTTTGCATACTATTACTTCTCGCCCATGAGGATTTGCTTTCCTCTTGGGAACGCACAAGCACACACACACACACACTTCACACACACTTCAATACCCCAAGGGGTGGTTTGGTACATTCGTGTACGTCATGCAGGAGAGGATAGGAGAGACAGGTTCGACTACATTGCTTCGAGTTGGCTTCAGAATACTTTCAGAATGCAACACCAACGGCCAACACATCAAAACTGGAGCCATTGGTCCTTGGAAAGCAACGGAACAACACGCAACACAAAACGTTGCGCAGGCACGTCGAGGTGATCAGCCTCGATATCCGCATTTGCTGTGGCCGCTTCGTTGGACCATCGCACACAGCAAATGGATGGTCCCCCTGCATGAGCTGAAAGGTGGTTTTAGGGTAGATCTGGGACACGATATACACGCACACACACTGGGGGTTGGCATTGGGGCATGAGAGGGATAAGGGAGGTCCGCAAAACAGAAGGATAGCGGCTAAACACGCGCTCGCGCACACACACACACACACATTCAACTCTCTGAAGGCCCCTTGAGGGCGCATTGCTTCTTCTGATCTAAATTCCCGCCCCTTTTCCTAAAGGGGCCAGGAATGGCTAGGGCATATCGAATCCGCGACTGTGGAGGCAATATGGGGCAACGCAGCCTGACCTAAACCAACTGGCATGGAGTTGCAACTTGCTTGAACCAACCGGGAATGTACTCGTAGACCTAAAATTTATAAACCCCCCAGGGCTGTCTGCATCTGAAGTGTCTTCCCGCACAAGCAACACTGAAAACTCATATGGATCTGTCAAACCAGTACGTTCCAGGTGTGGTGCGTGTGCCGAAGGATTTACAGATGCCCTGAAGCCTGATGTTGCCCATGGGGCTCATAAGGCCTTGGAACATCTTCGAACCCTGCTACCGGAGTTGGTCAACGTGTCCATGTCTGGTTTTGATGGTTCTCATTGGGGGGTGTAGGGTAGGGAACCTAATGGGGAACCACCCTCATTCTGAAGCAAGCCTATCTGCGATTTCAACACCTACAAGATATCTTCAGGTACCAGACCTTCAGCATGGGTGAGCTCGCTTCAGCCCCTGGCGAGCTCGTATATTGTGTCATGTTTGACAAGCCACCCCGCAAAGGACCAGACCGCTGTCTTGGGCCCCGCCGGCAGTGGCACTGGCGCAAAGGCCCAGTTTGGGTCACGGAAGTGGAGGAAGCCGTCCTAAGCCACGAGGGGCGTTGCGTGTACACTCCGACATCCGCTAAGCGAGAAATCATACGTCTATGTTTGTTCAAGTCAAAACAAATCAAAGCAATGCGACCTTTAAGCAAGTCACAAGTGTGAGCCTCAGACTCGGGAAAGTCAAACTCCACACAAACAGTCGCCAGATTCTGTTCAATACCAGGTGCTAACGCACTTCTTGCCCTGCCCCGCCCTGCCAACGGCTGCCAACCAAGGGGCAGGGCGGCTTCAGCCAAGCTGCATCCATGTCCACCAGGCAGCCGATGGTGAGAGGCTCCGGGCTCCCGCCCCATGATGTCCTGGCGCGAGTGCGCTTCTCGGCTTCGGCTGAGACATGGCCCATGGCAAAACAAACGGTTGAAAACAAGATGCTGCACGCCGGTAAACCTTCACAACATTCGCATCTGTCAGCGTTGACATGAGTTGAAGTAAAAGGTGCAACCGCCCTCGTGCTACTGCCAAGCTCCAGGATTTGCGAAACAACATCACAAGCTTGAGTGCTGCCAGAGGCGTTTCCTTTGTTGCAAGGACAACACAATACCATGAACATCACAATCTCGCGAAAGAAGACATATTCACTCGGGGCATTGCGGCAAACAAAAGGTCACTTCCCAATTTGCTGGCTTCGGCCCCAGGCTTTGTGGGAAACTGCCAGTTGGGCCAGGAGCCCGCCTCGCTTGAATCAGCTCGCCCTTGTGCCAAAGCCCTTCTCGACCCCACGCCCAGCTCAGCTCATCGCCTTTACGTGGCGACGGGTGATATCATGTGCACGCTACAACACTCTTGCAGAGTGATGCCCTTGGCTTACATGCATATCTGTATTTATCTATACATATATAGATATATATATATATACATACATTTATATGCTCATATATGTATATATGTGTGTTAATATATATATATATATATGTGGGGGTTGATTGAAAGGTTCTTTGCATGGGATGAACATTTCATTTGGGAAACCACTAAAATTCACCACTAAATCGTAAAAGGCACGCAATGTCCAACATCGAAATGCTAAAGCCTTGATCGTGGGATGGCCCTAAGGTGGTTGAAACGGCTGTCAATCTGAAAGAATGCTTGTACCCTTTGAGGGAATGGGCAGGCCCTGCCTCCAGGAGTGCCTTCGCTCATTGCAGACCGCACGCCTAAGTAGACAACTCCAAGCCCCGCAGGGGTCTGCCAGGCTCAATTTCAGGGTTTGTTGCTTTCCCTACTTAGGGCGACTGGGTTAGCCTCTTTCAATGATTCTAATGGTATGAGTTGGAGTAATGAGGCAATGACTGTACTAACTGAGATAGGTGAGGGCAGTGATCAAAATGATGTTCTTTGCAGCAAAACTCAAAATTCCCGAGGGTCTAGCTATTCTGCCGGAAAGGCAATGCCACTTAAAGAACTCTCGGAAACACCTGATGAGAGTGGCCCTTGGCGTATTCATCCCTGACCCCGCAAATATGCCCCTGCATTCTGAACCCAGCCTATGCGCGCATTCTGCGTGCATGGGCCCACCACGGACTCGAAGTAGACCTTCCTCGGTGTGGCTTGGTCTGATTCCTGTTTTTGCGAAGGCATCATCCATAAACTGAGAATCTAGGTCCTCCAGTAGAGAAGGTAGAATAAGGGTACCTTTTTTTCTGTAAAACCCTAAAAAGGTAAAAGGGCACTACTGGGGGACCTAGGAATGGTCCAGTGGACCGAAGGAGGCTCGATCAACCACCAGCCTCGAGCGTCAATGAGACATGATCCAGACAGCAATCCAAGCACCAAACACTCCGCCAGGCCGCCCTCCCATCTCTGCGGAGGCCATGGCAGACACCTCGCTGGTCTCGGCTTCGAAGGTGCCCGCGCCAACGCCTACGGGGCGAGTGGGGAATGCGAATCGCTGCGAAACACGTCCAACAAATGTTTCAAGGCACGTCGGTACAAGAACGCAGCTTGGGCCTTGAACAACCAATTGGGCCTTCTCATGGTCAAAGCCTATTGAAGGATGTTCTTGCTAGTGTGCTGGCAGGGACATCCCATAGTTTCAACCTTGGTCACGCAATGCTTGGCGGCTTGATGCTAAGGAAGGGGTTTGGGATGGTAAAACATTGTAAAGCAGCAAAGCATGCGATTTTCGGGTTGGAGGGTACTGCCGCAACCTGCTGGCCAATGTGAACCTCAAGAAAACTACGTGCTATTCCGACCCTGCTGCTCGAGACAATGGGCTCTTCACAATTGTCAAACACGACAGGCAACAATTGTTCAGTCCTCGCTGAGCAAACAAGACACTATCGACACCCTCACATCAGTCTCTAAGCCACCTTGAGGGTCGTGTCCAATTCCTGACTCTTCATCCTGTCATGGCAACCCAACTTTTGGCCATGGGTCAAATCCCGTACCCCCAGTGAACATCCCAATCCCCACTAAAATAAACTAAAATGGGTGGTGCACCTACGCCAAAATGGTTTTGACCCACAGACGTCTAGCACCAGCACATGAAGAACTCCCAACATCTCCCAACCGAAACCAAGCATGCATTCATGTCCACGCATCCATTCCATGTCTCCCATGCTGATTCGCCCAAAGAAGCGAAGCAAAACGCATCGCCCAAAGCCGCCCCTGCCTCGCACCCGCACGGGCTCGCCCAGAGGCACCAGCTGCCCGCCCGGCTGCGAGGACAAAGGGGCACTGGGCGGAAAAGCCAGCGCCCAGCCGCAGGTGCCTTCCCAAAACGTAAGGCGTGTTTAAGTTTGCATGGGAAAGCTGCTTGCTTGCATGCCGCAAGCGGGGCAAAGGCGGGAAAGGAGAGCCGCGGGCCGCGGGCGCTAGATGCTGTTCGATGTTGGCGGCTGATGGCAGGCTCAGCTTCATTGGGCTGCTACAGGTTGATATGAAAGAAAATGATTGTGGGTTGGAATCTGCCCCTCTCGGTAATTTTGTGTCTGCTGCATCTAGTCTATGGTAAATCCTGTCTCCAAAGGGAAACGATGGCAATGAGTTGGGCATGTTCGGGGGGTGGACTGTGCTGTACAGGGTGCATTGCGTAGTGTTGATTGATGTTCTGCTGCAATATTGGTTGCTGTCTCATAGGGTGAAGGGCTTGCCCCCACCACCTTGTCATGTTTGGCCAACCCTAGAACAGCTGATATTGAAAGGTACACTCATTCGAAAGCAACACGCCAACCCGCATGATCGCGATCTATGTTCGTATGTTCGCAGGTCAATCGATTTGATAGGTCTGTCGGACGTTTGCATTACACCCCAGCACGCCGGGCCTTGGCAGCACAGGCAGCAGTATGGCGCCTCAACCACCTTGGTATCAGCACGCCATGTGCAAAGCTGCCTTCAATCCGAGAGCGCACGACACACATGCAGTGCCTGGAAAAGGAACAAGTGACAGAAGGGACATGACAACTATCCAGGTCAACAGCTCGACCACTGGAACATAGCATGGCACAAATGTATGCAAAAGGCAAATGCACTGATATACTACCAATAAGGCAAACCCCAGTTTGCGAAACCAACTCTTATGCGAGCCGGTTGAGCGCCTTCCAAAGGTCCTATCTTGGAAGCTGGCTTCAAACCACCCCGTCCAAAATGCAGCGAGTGTCCACAAAAGCCTCCCAGTGACCAGTGCAAAACCAACTTTAGTCGAAGCCCCGAAAAACTTTGCTGATGCCATAACGGCCCATGAGCTAGCTGCCAAGGCACCTTCATCTCGATCAGTTCGTGCACGTTTACAACGGGTGAGTCGATGCCCTGGGGAAAAACCCACGGTCGGTCAACCAAACAAACGGCCACCCCAAAGAAGCCGTTTCATTTCTACCCACCGGGAGGGGGGGACAAATTACCAACAATCACCATGGAACCACGCCTGACTGACACATTCCCAGCCCAAAGGCTGCAAACTTGAAGACCAGGAAGCAATGTGTATGATACTGGCCTACGTATGCATCTCGTTATCTCTGTCTCTGCGCTGTTTGGGGCAAGATCACCCAGCTAAAGCCAGCCCGGGAGGGTTTGGCGGTTCCTGTGGCCCAAACTTTAATCAGGCAACCAAGCAACCAAGCAAAAATGCGAGCAAGCGCGCAGGCCATACCAAGCAAAGTCAACCAAAGCAAAGCAAAACGCCCAGCCCGCCCAGCAAGCAAAGAACAGCAAGCAAAGCAACGTCTTTGAACAAGCACGCACAACAAACCGCTTTGGCGGTTCTTCCGTCCGTTTGCTGAGCTCATGGGTCTGAACCTCCACCCTCCGTGCCTGGATGGCCCAGCGTAAGGTGAGCATGGCCACCATGGCCACCAGAACCATAAGGCTCAGCCCGGCCCAGGGGTCCAAGAACTGAAGCCTTGGATCCCAGCCGAGTCCAGGGATCCGGATGCAGTGAATACATGAATACACCTGAACATTGCAACTTGTAAATGCTGGTTTCCAACTTTGTTTTGGTGTTGAGAAAGCCCGCCATGTTTCAAATGGTTGCAAAATGGAGATCTTTTAAGGAGCCCTGTCCAGCTATGGAAGGTTCTCCATGGACTCGTGGCCATGGAAGGTTCTCCATGGGTGGTCACTATTCAGTCAGGCTGCAAAGGCTCCACTGGCTCGCAATCAGATGACTGGAGTCATGGTAACACCAAACAACCAGAAGACCACCAACCACAACACAATTAATCCCTCCCCCTACTGATGCTTCAACTCATACTAATAAATATGATAGGCCAAACCAAAATCAAACAAAAACTCCCCCCCTTTTACTTTTGTTTCACCCAATACTAAACAAGTACTAGACTCCTGACAGCCCTTGTTACGGGGTACTTTCAGCACGCTCATTATTTTGATAGTAAACTCAAAATGTTACTTGTAACTTCAAGTTCATTTTTTAAAACTTGGACTGACAAACCCAAAGAAGTGTCTTGTGCATGTGTATATGTGTATATATGTGAAATCCTTACTCGGCAGATTCAGATGAGGATGGTGTTTGTGCTTGGAAAAGGGCGTGACCCCATTTGAACGAGGACCGTAGTGGAAACCCCCTGAGGCTCCCTGTCCCTACTCTGCCCTATTAATAAATAATCAATGGGGGGGATTTAACCACAAGGGGAAAGGAATAGAAAAACACCACCACTGGCAAACCACATACAGCTATAACACAGCCTGAACACGACCAGGACAACCAGGACACAACCAGCAAATTTAAGCATGTCAATGGATCACAGCTACCACGGCCGTTAGATTATCATCTTCCATTTCCGACTTTCTAAATGAAACGTGCACCTGTGGTGAGGAGGGCAAGGCTGCTACTTTTCGCAGCTTGCAGGAACTTGCCGCTGAGCCGTAGGCGGGAACCAAAGCCGAGGCGAACTGAACAGCTCCGAGCTACGAGCCAGGACTCATAAAGATGGTGCGCCTGCCTCCGGCAGGTCAATTGCACAAGTTCATTCCCAAGCTAACCCCGCAGCATAAACAGTTTGATGCAAGGAAGTGCGGTTCACTAGATGTGCCATTCCTAGCAAGCTTAACGAGACACCCTCTTGAGTAATCCTGTCACTCCGAATCAATTGAAGTTTACTCTGGCAACCATGCGTCTCCTTCTAAGCCTGGCCAAGCCACACAGCGATCGAGAAGTTGTGGCTCCCGTGCAGGAGCATTGGCAGAAAGGGCGTTAGAAGATACGTGCACCGCGGCTGCTGTGCAAAGCGCAGCTGAGATAAAAAGGCGCCATGCATCAAGCCGTACCTAAGGCTGCAGCTTTAACCATTCCGGCCAAAGGGGACAAAAAACAGCTATAACAGATCCGGCACACTGCGGCCTCTCGGATGATTCTCTCGAAGGCTGGAATGAGACAAGTAACTGTAAATGACAAAAACGTGCTCATCAAAATGCCATGGAATGTGCTGGCCGGGGTGCATTAAGTGATTGGGCACGGCGGTGCCTGCACGCAGCAGTGCCGTCACCAGGCCGCCGGTGCCAACATAAATCGCGTTCCTTGGGCTCTTTGGGGCGCCCGCGGCATTGACAGCCGGGGGGTTGGAAGTCAGCTTTCCTCTTATATAAAGGGACCGGGTCCCTGTCAGGTTCCATGGTTGGTGGGAGGGTAATTCTCACCTAGTTGCGGAATCAAAGAGTAACCTTTCAAGACACCCAACCTATGACTGAGCTTGAGGGGTTCAATATCCTATACAGCGAAATCTGGGGTGGAACTCTTTCCGGGACAAACGCCTATGCCAGATTCCAGTGTTGGAGGCAAGTCTTACAAGGTTCCCTTCCCTGACATGCAACCCATTTTGACCACTGCAAATTCTTGAAAGGGAGGGTCTGCGGACATCAGCCACACGGCTACGAACTCCATTGGGGCCAGTATGCCAAGTGATAATTCGGGTGGATGCTGGAAGACCATTTTCAAATGCACAAAATGACCTTTTGGCACATTCCATTTTAGAGGGTTGGAGGGTACCCAAATAGAACCACCTGTCTGTGCATCAAAGGGGGCCCCCGGTCCAAAATCATAACCCCTCACCCCGAAACTTTAGGGGGACGCTTCAAAAGTTGGAAGAGATTGTGGATGGACAACATCTCAACATACTGGGTAAACCACCTACTGACCAAAGCAAATTGTTTTCTTGGTGCATGCAGAGTAGTCCATCACTAGACTTCTCATCTTGGTTTGTTGCCCAAAGGACCCAGAAACAAAAGAATGATCTTTGGGGGCCATGACTGAAAATGGACCAAACAGGCAACACCAAAGGTCAAATCCGGTCGAGTCGCTTTGGCCAAGTGAGCAAAAGCAAACCACACCAAACGGCTACCAACTATTTGAGGCTACACTTGTCATCTTGGTTCTACGGGAAACCGAAAGGAAACCAACCATATGGCAACTCCTCTTTCGACCCACTCAGCTGAAAGACTCCACGGCTGCGAAGCCGAGACCGGCGCAGCCCCCGTAGCAGCAGAGGGCCCAGGCATCGCACACAAAGGGCTGCCACAGCAAGCGCCGCACGCAAAGGAACTTCAGAAGCTCCTGGCGCATTTGTTTTTGCCAAAGCTACCCTTCCAAGCCTTAACTTTCATTTGGTTAAGACCCCCTGAAAAATGTCCAGTAATGATACATTCCTTTAAAACCCAACCAAGGAAAATAAACAATGTTCTTAAGCAAATGGAAGTTAAACAAACTTCACAAGCGCGCATTCCTTCGATTGTTTTCCAAACATTACATAAACCAAATCCTCCCTACCATTGGGGATATGTACTGGGATGCGGAACAGATCTGGCAAATGATGCTGGGCTTAAACATGACGTTTCCATTTATATACATGTTCACGTCATACCCGGCACGAGAAGTCTTTGTGTGTGGCCATTCTTCCCAATTGGTGTGTACAAAATGAATCAGCAATTCTATTTGTGGTGGGGGATTGCTCTTGTCATCATATAATCTGAAAAAGTGTGTGCATATCATTTTCACAAGAGGCTGTGCTGGCCAATTCAACTCCGCAAAACCTCCGCGCTTCCGTGCTGATTTGGCCGCACACGAGCCAGCGAGACAAACAACTCCCAGCAAAGGAATAGATGTAAATACAGCAGTTGTCCAACCGAAGATGTGCAGCACAACAATTACCCTCCTCCTACTAACATAGCACCTGTGGGAGGGTACCTGGAAGATCATTTCCTCTTGTAGGGCCCCCTGTGAGGTGCTATGTTAGTGGGAGTGAGGGTATCTAAGATGCCGTCCTCTAGGAAAGAGGTCATCAGGTATGCCTGGATCGCCTTCTTGCCGAGACAATCCCATTGCACAGCATCCGTTGCGTTGGTGGTCTCATCGCAGGCAGGTAGCCAGTCATCCCATCCGACCTTGGATCGATCTGGCATGCTGCCAGTCACCGGTGTCTGGTTGTATGTAATTAAGGTGACTTGAATATTGCCTTATCCGCCTAGGGCGGGCTTCCTCACATACTTCTGATTCCAGGCCACAGGAAAGTAGATGATCAGGATCACCCCGACCAGTGGGATAAACCATGCGATAGCCTCAAAGAAGGAGATTACCATCTGCAAGATCCGCACGGAGTTCTGAAAGAGGAAGTAAGCAAAGCACCTTCAATTCTGCGAAAGGTTGCTTTGACTGAGGTGCCCCAAGTCACCTACACGATTAACCAATGCAAGACCGCAAAGCCCTGCAATAGTGTTTGTCCACCTGCCTGCCAAGCCATGAATTTTTTTAAAAAAAATAAAGTAGTCAAGACGTGTCAACACATCGCACAGGCCACCCATGGAGCTCCAATGTGGCCACGGCACCCAAAGACGACGATGGGAATAATGCTCAGCAGGACCAAGCCGACTGCAGGAAAAAGCACGTAGGGCAGCACGCAGAAAAGCGTGGCCAGAATCAACGCGCCCATCACCTCACGCTGAACCAGCAAAACTCGCAGGAGAAAGCCAAGTGGTAGCATTGCTAAGTGATGTGAGATGCAAAGTAAACCGAACCATGAAACTTCACAAGCAAACACATCTCAGCCACTCCTGCAAAACGACCGACGCTGCGTGCCAGGTGGGGCGCCACGCCGCTTGAAAAGCAGCAGGAGACCGTGCAAAATGGCATCTTCTCCAGTGAGGGATCAAAGGCCGGCCAAGCTCCGCGAGAGTCCACCTGACCACAAGATGACTTCTCGTGTTGCTACTTCTGGAGCTGAAACTCAAGGGTGGGAGCACCAAGGAATTCACAAAGACCTTGCATGCAGAAGCTGGCTAATAGCACAGGCTGTCCCCAGTTAAAACAATCCTTCACTTTCCCCGGGTGAGGTCCGCTCAATTCTGTTGGGCCAAGCAGAGTTGCTACTGTGAACCGTCGCCGGCGGTCGGGGTCAATGGCCTGGTAATAGGCCGTGACTGGCTCCCCCGCCCAGGAGCTTGGGAGTCTCACCAGGAACCGCAGCCCACCAGCAGAGGTTTCAAAGACCTGACAGGTGGGACATGTCTAGGTAAGATCTCCATGTCTGATAAACGTGCATTGTGTGTAGTTGTGTATTTGTCTTCTGTGAAGGGCCTTGTTTACAAACAAGTGAGGGGGTCCAGTGTCAGTTTGAAGTCGAACTCAGCTAAAACTCCTTGTTTGTGTGCAGTGGAGTCAGCGCAAACCAACGAGCAGCGCAGTCTTGGTAAGCTTAGCACTTGAACACGTCTGCAGAAGACAGCTCAACAGAGGTTCTCCACTGATAGGAGCATCCGAACCAGTGGAAAACACATACCATTGCATGCCAGTGGCAATTTGGTCCAACGAGCATAGAGCGAACATTCCAAGAATGATACGGCACATGAAAAACAAGCAAAATGATACCATAATGTGGCATGCAACTGTTTCCAGGCAGAAACTATGTTTGTGTGACGCACATTCTGTTACATGCTAGAGGCTACTTCTGACCCCTTCCAGGCCCGACATAACCTAGCCGTTGCCACTTTGCCCTTGAACGCCTGCCACAGCCATGTTCTGAAGTTGAATCATGGGGGCTTCTACCACCCACCTCATTTCACAATCTTGATTTCCCTCAACAACTTCTCTGCCCCGGGGGCCTGATGGAACTATAAACTAGCCCAAGTGGATACGCCTCGCTGACAGATTCAGCGGTGCCATGCTCAAATTTCCTGAGCACATCCATCGTGCCACCCGTCCAACCAACAACTCAGTTCTTCTACTACAAGTCACCAATGCACAGTCACACGTCCCCCATGACCCTCTCGCTTCCGCTGTAGAGGAACATGGGTTTCCACATGTCAGTGACGCATCGTGCTTTGTCCCCGGCGTTCAAGTGACAAGTGCAGAGCACCTCTTTGCCTTTTCCTGTTGATCCTCGGTTGCTTTCTGCTCCCCGGCTATCAGTTTAACTTTTAGTGGTTTGATACTGAAAATCCATTAGTAGTTAAAGTCCGAACATCCCTTGGCAAAATGCAAAGAATCCCTCCCCTCCTGGCCCGGCTTCAGGTGCTCGGGGGGGCGCACGGTCAACGCGTGCACCGCATCCTCACGGCCCAGCTCAGCATCCGACAGCTGGGCCGATGGCCACAGCGGGGCAGCGCCCACCCGGCTCATGATGGGGCCATGTGGGCTCAGCTGCCTTTGTAATGTAGAAACGCAGTAAGATGATAAACAAAGAACATAGGAAAACGTCTTGCCATGTCAGCTGTCCAGCTTGGTGTCTCGAGATGCGCCACATGGCCCGTCGAGCCTTGATGGCAAGCTTTGTGAAGCAAATATCTATTTTGAGGACGCGTTTGATGTGACCAAGCTCTGCGGCCAGTGAAGCTTGCTGCAGCTTCCAACGGACATACGTCAATGCATCAATAGCATCTTTGGGCATCAGAACAGGAAGGCATACATTGCGACATGTTCGTGTAAAAGGGGCCAAAAGCTACATTGCTGCTCCTGACCAAAATGGCAGCGTTCACTGTCGCTCATACGGCGGGACAGGACACCTGCTTGCCTGACCAAAGACAGGTGGTAACCCCAAAGTTTTGTTTAATCATGCCAATCATGGTCAACGACCTGCGGCGAACAACCAACAAGTGCAGCGGACTTAATTCAACACCCACAAAGCTGCAACTCTCACAACTGCAGTGATCACGTAGATGCATAGTTCACATGATGGCCCAGGTGTCCATCCTGCAACCTGGACACAAGGCATACAAGAAATGGGGGCAATGCCAGGGTCCTATGGCTCCGCTGGCCTGTCACCCCAAGTCACCCAACACGTACACACGCACTCATCGTCCCTCCTCTCGCCAACAACTCAAGGCACTGTCGGTCACATTCCCTGTGCCGCAGGGAACATCGCAGCTTGCCGTTCCTTTTGGAAGTCTGCACTTTCGCGCCGTCGTGATTCACGGCTGCTCCCGTTTCGGAGCTCAAGAAATGTTCCGGGCACGGCAAAGCTCAAGCTTTGCCGAGGGGGAACGGAAGCTTGCAACCGGCTATCAGATCTGCGGGGTCTTGGCGAAACGAACCAAACTTGGTGAGGGGCAGCTCTGGCACCAGCATTCCGCTGAAAAAGCGGAATGCCAAAGAGTAAGGGTTCAAACACCGTGTTTGCCCTGCAAGTCTGCCATGTGCGGTCAGCACCTGAGCTCAAGGGAATCGGACAACTCGCCAGTTGCAATACAGCTGACAGGTTTCTCCACGCACTGGCACTCCAAAGGCTGAAAGTTGCAGTTGTTCCCCACGCACACACACACACACACACCCGCGCCCAGTTCTGCCCATGTGAAGCTTGATAGCTTGAGACCCACGCAGTAGCTGCCACCGTTGGATCCCAGACTTCCAAACTCTTCGCCCAAGATGTTATGAGCTTTCAAACCAAGGGTAGGGTTATCTTGGCTTTGGTCTACGGCTATCTTATTCTGACAAGTAAAAGGTCAAATGTGTGGACCTGCTGTTCTATTGCTTTGAAGGTCAATGCTCTCCCTTAAGGGTGATTGTGTTTGGTTGATTTTCCATTCGCTTGACCAACTGCAGGATGTCTTTTACAAAGGACGGGCCTGCTTGTGACAAAACACAAAAGCTATGGACGTCACCCAATCGACACGGGGATGTTGCTCTGTGGGAAGAATTGGGACCCTCGTCAGACCTTGAAGCTCAGCACCTTTACTTTCTAGGGGCCAAGACGCATGCAAACATGCACTGAACCCCGCCCGTACTCTGAGGCCTTCCCCGGAGGCGACAAATAACTCTTTTGCAGGCTCAGTGAAAAACAAACAACTTCCAAAAGGCCTATGCGACTATCCAAAGACCACTTGGGATGTTTTGGGTGCGGCCCTGAACCAACCTCCTCCAACCACACCCGAACTTGCGCTCCAAGGCCCGCACCGTAGAACATCCGACTCTGGGCCGATGGACACAATGATGGCGGTGATGTCCTGAGCGAAAACTCCGCGTGCGTGATCCCGGCTCGAAGTCCTAGTCCGAAAATCCGAGACCCCATTCAGGTGGCCGGTTCCCTGGTGTCCGCTGAAAATTAGGAGACCCCCATCTTGAGCAGCCTTACGGATCTGAATCCCTAAGGCTGTTGCACGCAGGGCGAAGGTTCAATATGTGGTGCCCTGCAGTGGCCGATCTTATTGAACATAGCTGCCTGCAACGGAAAGCTTGCACCTCACCCATCACTCTGCGAATTGCGGGAAGAAAACAGGCTTCATCAGTATGCCCCCCTGAGATGCAGCTTGATGATGCAAGTTTTTGAACGTGAAAGACCTGGTTCACATAAATTATCCACAACACAGCCATTTTCGTGAGTGGTGGTTGCCCGCTCAGTGGGGGCATTCATTAACTTTAGGGCCATTCCTCCGATTGTTTCGATCCTGCGGAATGTGAAGTCCCAGCTGAGCTATCTAGAAATGCAGACATCCTGAGTCGGATGGCAAACATCATACAGTCCACACACTTCTTTTGCAACTACCATGGCGAAGTCCAAAACCCCAAAACATCCCAAAACCCAGGAACTTGGGAAACAATAAATCTACATGGCCTTGTCTTTTTACCTAGGTCCTTCAGTAGAGAGGTTAGAATAAAGGCACCCTTTCTTTCTGTATCTATTTTAGTAGGGGAACCCTCCCCCAATAAGGGTAAAAGGGCACTACTGGGGGACCTAGTTACCCTGTCCCCCGACTGCTCGCTCTCAGAGTCGACCTCATGCAGCTGTAGCGGCATCCAGCTCCTCGCTCTCCGCCTGCCACCCCGCTTGTGCCCGGGTGACCAACAGCTCCGCCGCGCTCTGCGGGTCTTCGCCGTGCCTCGCGAACCCAAGACTGCGCTGGATGGCCTACGTACCTACCCAAGTGCACAAAACGCTGACAAGCAACGTGACTTGTATCCTGAGCTTGAAGTTTGTTGAAACTGTTTGTTGGGTGAGGTCCCTTCGGACGACTTCTCCAGGGACCACCCAAAGGTGCCACCAGCGAGGTCACTGGACTGATCCTAAATAATTGGCTGCTGATTCAGTCTCGTGCTTGGCGATGAACTGTCATATCAACCTGCCCTTGCTCTTTGCAGAAATGTCCCTTTCCATGCACACTTCTAGGCATGCCCGTGTGTAATAACGAAACACGATGAGCCCATTGCTTTAAACAACACACATTTGGCTCCTACTCAACAATTCTATATGCAGCGTTAGTACCTGTCAAGCCGAAGCGGCTGCAAGGGTCCCTAAAGACGGCACTGCCAACAGGTCATCCCCCAAAATAACCTCCCCTGACCACACAGCAGCCTCGTATCTTTCAGCACAGGATCCAGCTGAAAAGGCGCCCTTTACGAGTGTCTCTGAAGTCGTCTTGGAGCAATCGCTTCTGTTCATGGCTGGTTGACAACAAGGCGCAAACTGAGGAAGTCTGATGCCGAATTCATTCTGCAGGACTTACACACTGAAACGGCCAGCTCGTTGATTGTAAAAATAGATCTGCTGGGCTTCGACCCTTTTGAGAATGGCTGTTCCAACCTGCTCACTTTTCCAGGGAAGCCTAGGCTGCAAGAAGCAAAATGAAACCACACAACAATGCATTTCACGTTCACTTGACACAAAGAAAAGAAACAAATATCTTTGTCCTCCGGTCAGGGGCCCTTATGCAACATTGGCCAACAACAACAATGTAACAAGTCAAGCAAGTGACCCACCGCGCAAACTTGCGATGAATGCCGCGGCGCAAAGTGGCGCCCACCAAGTCTGCCACCTCCTTGGTGCTGGTAAAGTCCCAAACGCCATCCGAGGCGACGACCAGAAACCTAAGTGCAAATACATCAACCAGTGCTTCACAGAGCAACAGGCAAGTTTTGCCACGTTTGTTGCATAATAAACCTGCAACATTACAGGAATCTTGCAGGCATTGCTTGCTTGCCACCCGTGCCTAGGCAAATCATCCAGCTCAAGAGTACTGTTGGGTCTTCTTCCATGTGAACCCCCTCAATAGCGGCAAAGGGCGGTCTGGATTGGGCTGGGGGTCGTGGTTGCCGTCTCGGTTTGGTCAGCGTGGCCAATTCTAATTTAGTAGTGTCTGCACGGTTTGAATGGTTTATTTGGGGGGAGGGGGTGGATTTTGTATTCTGGAAGTCAAATCAGGAAGTAAACAAAATTTCCAGAATTGACACCCCATTTATTGAAGTTAAGGAGGGTCTCACATTACTCTGAAGTCGTGCTATCGCAGAGGACGTGAGCACACTGAGTGCCAGAGTTAAATTGAGCGCAAGCGCGTGTCTGACAAGCAGAGTAGGGTACCTACCCTTGCAGCTGCAACAAAGAAGCACGATCGCCAAGTGCACAACACATATTAGTATGACCTCCGCCTCACATGGCATCCCTTTTGGCCAACTGCTGCGTCGTAGCCAATGCGCCCACTGAAAGTGAGCATCGATTGACTCCCCCCCGCCCCCCTGACCTGCTGCGAGTGACTGGCGCTGTGCATCCCCCACGCTCTGCGCGAGGAACACGGTGCTAACATCCGGGACATCAGAAACTCCCACCGCATGCAGCTTGGCGTCCCCGAGGCTTCGGGACCTAGGCACGAGCTGCTCCTGGTGGCCAGTTGGGCGAAACTTCTTCATTTTGGGAACCCAAAGGAACCAACCCATCTTCTACGGGAGTTTCATGAAGTGCATTGCCATTGCACGTATTTGGTATGGGTAGTCCAGCCTGGCTGCAATTGCTCTGGGTGAGTGGCTGGCTGTCACCTACCAGGCGTGCACAACACATATGCTTTGCACCCATGCATGTACATCATGCAATTAGCGCCAGTGGAATCCAAATCGCGCATCGGAATAGCTCTCGAGGTGCGGATGGTGATTCTGAGAGGTACTGCTGTCTCTAGCCGGAAGAAAGTCGTGCTCCGCTAGGTTTGCTGACATGTACCAAGCTCGGTTTACATTGGGCTTGGAGGGCCAAACTATTGCAACCCGTAAGCTTGTTCAGCACCATCTCATGAAACGTAGTAGTTATGTTAAAGTTCATTTGATGTTCATTAGTGATGATTCGAACACCTTGTACTTCTAAGCTGCGCCAAGCAGGTACCTCCTGCGACCCAACAGGAACCAGTCTCCCTCGACTAACCTGCCACGGTAGCTTTTTAGCTGGGAGAAGAACTTGCACATACTGCACGTCTTGCAGCAAGGTGAAAGTAGATGGCACCAAAGCCTTTATGTGGGTAAGGGGACGACTCCGGGATGACTCAACCAGACTGGGGCGATTGCTGTCCAAGAACGGTCCAACTGAGTCGCATGTTGAGGCCCACGTAGGGCCACTCGTCCAGGTAGACGCGCTGCCGCGCCACGATGCCCCCGTGGGCCTCAATCCGGAGGCGCTCCTCTGGGTCCTGGGCGGCTGAGAAACTGGAGAGTTTCTAAATGACGAATTCGGACTGGCTCTCATATTCACACAATTGAGATTCTATTCACCTGAGCTCATGTTCAACTTTGTCATGTTCGCATTGAAGGTGTTGGAGAGTTGCTGAGTGCCTGGATTTGCTTTGCAAATCTCACACACACACAAAACGTATGCCCGTGTCAAACCTGAATGCCTTGAAAGTAAGAGCAACAATCGCAAAATGCCACCAGTATATCATGGGTGCGTGTGCCCTTTCGTGAGTGAGTGCGTTTCTGTGAGTGCTTGCGTTGCTCGTGCCAGGAAATTGTTCTATTGATGTGCCACTGCGGGGGCAGCTGGGCTCGAGCTGTCCTCTGGCTTGTGGTCCCGCGTCAGCACTCGACAGTCTACCTGCCAGGGTCTTGCAGCACAATTTCCATGGGACATACCTGAGCCTATCAAAATGGGCCTCTCCCTCTCCAATCAACCCTCCCCATCTCTCTTGGAACCCCTCTCTCTCTCTCTCCCTCTCTCTCCGTCTCGCTCATCCCACATCAGGGATGCGAAACACAGCCACTAGCGCTCTCTCCTTTGAACCCTCCCATAAACTTGGGTGCTGTAGATCCCCCAGCAAAAAGTTTACCTTTTTGCTTTTGCTAAAAGGAAATCTGAGGGGAATCCCAAAAAATAAAGTCTAAAAATCCAACCCAACAGGTGAAGATTCCAGAAGTGATAGATTCCCTGTAAAACCAACAGGGGAACATAAAACATACTCTTAAGCAAATGGAAAGAAAATCTGTCGCCAACCCCTCCCAACCCACTCCGCCTGGTCCTCCGCGAAGGTGCCCAGCACCATCCGGCTGTCCCCCACGTTGGCGCAGTGCAGCAGCCCCCGCGCGCAGAAGGCCAGGGTGCAGGTGGCGCCGCTGTAGCCCCGCGGCCCCCACCCCGTGTCCGAGGCCTTCCTCAGCCAAACACGTGGGCCGGCGATGCCATCTAAGGTCAGGTCTGCCATAGGCGGCGAACATGGAATGATGTAAACATGCAAGTGGGAATTAAGCCTTGAGGGCAATGCAAGCCACCCAGCCCCAGCAACGCCAAGTTTGAAGCGTGGTGTGAGGCAAAACATCTCAGCTACTTCCGATTGGCTCGGATATCCACCGATGTGTTGCGTTCTTTGCTTCCGATCAGTTAAGATTCCGGCATGAGTTTCAAACTAGCGATGGGCGTCACGTTTCTCGCCACGGTGGAATTTGGATTCGGGAAAGAAAAGCCATGTTCCCTGCTGCAGTGTTCCTATGGGGCAGATGAGCGCCCATGAAAGCTCCAACCTTTTCTGAGCCAAGCATCTGCATCAAATCTCCGATCTTGCGGAAAGATGCCTGGAGGCAAGCGGCGAGGGAAGACACACTAAATGTTGCACAGGCAGTGCTAGATCTATGCAACACTCATTTCTAGAAGCGCTCGAGCAACACGCTATGTTGAGCAATGCTGCAATGCTGCTAGACACATCATGGACATATCATGCTGGACACAAGTCGGATCAACCTGTATGACTAACGCACAATTGGTATGCGCCTCTTTGCCTGAAGCATCATTCGGTCGCAAAAAGAGCCAACATACAGCTCCAACAAGAACGCAACCGCTAAATGCAATGCTTTTTGGAACATGGCAACAACATTAGTTCTGGATAACTAATCGATTGCGAATTGCCCTCAAATCGCATCGGACAAGACGTGCCACAGGCCAATGAGAAGGTAGCACGCACACACACACAGGAACAGACACACACACAGTGACATGACTGTACCACTAAAGTTAATAATTCAGCAGAAAGCTACACGTAGGCGGGATCTGTCATGCCACCTACATACTTCATCAGCATGATGGGAGTCAAACTTCCATGGCTCAGGAGTCTCGCATGTCACGAGGCGCACCTGCAAGTGAGCCACGGGTCGACGTCTGGCGCCAAAAAGTTGCAAAGCGCCCGATCCCACGCCTGAACAATGAGCAAGTTCAGCTCAAGAAGGCTGTAGGACGAAAGGCTATGAGGAACGTACAGAAAGAGTCACACAACAGTCGGAGAAGAACATCTGCAAATATATAAACAAAGGTGTTTTACAGTTCCTCAAGCCGAAGCCAGAGACATGAATCTTCCTTCGCCGGCACCCGCTGATGAGGTGACCGGTCAAAGACCGGTCAGGGCGTGATTGCTAACGTAAGCTTGGGCAGCTATGGCACTCCTAAAAGCGTACAACCCGTTGTGTTCCGTGAGCCCGAGCAGCAGTGGCAGTTGTTGCAATGGCGCACCTGTCTCACCAGCCCTGATCATCGCATTGAAGCTGACAAGATCAGGTTGTACCTCTGCCGCAGACATTGCTGAAAACAAGGCAAACGCGTGCTGCCACTGCCCACCCTTCTCACAAGCACTGATGCTGGCATTGAAGCTGACCACGTTGGCATTCAGCCTTGCAGCAGGCAGAACCTCAAACAAGGCCAGTGCTTGCTGCCACTCCCCCACTCTTTCACAGGCGCTAATGGTTGCACTGAAGCTGACAACATTTGGTTGCACCTTCATCCTGGGCATCGCCTGTAACACAGCCAAGGCTCGCTCCCATTGCCCAAGCTTTTCGCAGGCGCTGATGGTGGCATTCACGCTGACAACGTCAGAACGTATCTTTGCGTCAGGCATTAGGAACAACAACGCCAACGCACGCTGCCAATGTCCGCCCTTTTCACAAGCACTGATGGTCGCATTGAAGCTGATCACGTTGGCATTCACCTTTGCTGCAGCCATTGATCCAAACAGGACCAACGCCTGTTGCCAAAGACCCGCTTTCTCACAAGCACTGATGCTTGCATTGAAGCTGACAACGTCAGCTTGCACCTGCGCAGCAGGCAGTGTCACAAACAACGCTACTGCCTGTTGCCACTGCCCTGCTTTCTCGCAAGCGCTGATTGTTGCATTAAAGCTGACAATGTCAGCTTGAACTTTTGCCGGAAGCATAGACCCAAAAAGGACTAGCGCGTGCTGCCACTGCCCACGTTTCTCGCAAGCACTAATGGTTGCATTGAAGCTGATCACGTTGGCATTCAGCCTTGCAGCAGGCATGGATTCAAACAACACCAATGCCTGCTGCCAAAGCCCAGCTTTCTCGCAAGCACTGATGGTTGCATTAAAGCTGATGACATCACCTTGCAGCTTTAGAGCAGGCATTGCCAAGAATAAAGCTACTGCTTGTAGCCACTGCCCTCCTTTTTCACAAGCGCTAATCGTTGCATTCAAGCTGACGACATCGGCCTGTACCTGTGCGTCCGGCATGGCTCGGAACAAAGCCAGCACCGTCTGCCACTGCTCACCTTTTGTGCAAGCGTTGATGGCCGCACTAAAACTGATGACGTTGGGTTGCAGCTGCGCGTCAGGCATAGCTGCAAGGAGCAAGCAGGCCTCTCGCCATGCATGGAGCTTTGAGCAGTACGACATTGCGACAGTAAAATCTTTGGCATCCAATTGCTTCCGGCCCTCCATAAGCACCTCCAGCACCCTGGGGAAAGCATCCTTTCGCTTCTTCGCTGCCAAGGCCGTCAAGATAACGGAAACAGAAACAGTTTGCTGCTCAGCCTGCGTTTGTGGCCGGCGGCCTAGTTTCAACAGCGCTGCGCCGACCGTGGCATTCTTTTCGGGCTCTTGCCGGTCCGGTCTACCAAACCTGCACCGTACACGGCCGGATCTCCTCGTACAAAGTGCTGCTACAGCCGCCGTGGCTTTCGTTGCCGGAGGTGAAGCTGCTAGCTGCTTGCTAGGCCTTGAGACAGTCAGCGTGCCAGGGGCGGTGCTACAGCACCAGGCACTATGCCGCGGCCGTGGCTCCATGGCGGGCCTGATCTTGCAAATGTGATTTCGGCAGCCTGTTTCGGGCAGCATGGAGCCTTGAGTTGGGTTATGCACTGAGCGTAGCGCAAGCAGAGCAAAAAGCCGGAGGAGGAAACGCAAGCCGCTGCAATCGTCGGAGCTCTTTCCGTGCTCTTGATGTCAAACCAATCAACCAAATACACAAACAAACAAGAACAACCAAGCAAAACAATCAAAACACGCCCACGAACGCGGACTGCCAAGCAAAAAAAACACAGAACCCCAAGGGAGGGTCAACACTTCGCACCAAGGATCCCACCAAGGTTCGTCGAATCAAACGAGAAAGTGGCCCTGCGCCCAGAGTCTTTTCTAGGATGTACCCTCGCAAAATCAGCGGGTTTACAGTCAAAACCCCCTTGAAACCACTGGTAGTGTCCAATATCACCAAAATGTAAGGGTTTTGCCAAGTGGTCCACTAAAATGGCGCCTTTTTGGGCAACAAACACCAAGGTGATGTCTTATCTGTCCGGTCCATATCAATACATATATATATATATATAATCCATACATATATTTGCGTCCGGTTCTGAAGTTGGGCGGTGCGCTCCGTGCCTGGATGGCCAGGAACAGCGTCTGGGGGTCCGCGGGGATGAGCTTCCCAGGCTCCGAGGCCAGGGAAGGCTCCCGGAGGATCAGCAGAGGCAGCCACTGCATCGCCAGGCTCGACATCTCGTGGCCCAGCCTCGCGGTCAAAACCGTAGGGGATCAGATTTTGGTCGCTATTGGTGAGAATTCACCACCCATCTTGGGTCTAGTTGAGTTTAGTTGGGATCCCATTTTGGTTGGGATTGGGATGTTCACTGGGGGTACGATTTTGGGCTTTGACCCATGGCCACGTCTCACAAAAGACAAAGCACCCCCCCTTCTCCGAGGCAGGAAGAAAAAAACGCAAAAACGCACACACACACACACACACCTTCCGGTTGGCCAATGGATGACCCATGAATGGTGCTGATGTTGGGAGACCTACCATTGAAACCAACTCTGGTCGGCTAGGTAGGTTTGAAGGTCCAAGCCAAACTCGATGAGTGACGTATGATGCTTTCTGTTCAGGCACGAAGCTTTCAGCACGCCCTGGGAATCCTCATGTCGGACCGCCTCTACGCACCTTTCGCTAAGCATTAGAATCTGTAAACACATGCACTGAGTGCCTGGACACGTTCGGAGGTGCAATGAATCTCGCAACGAGCTGCGGGCCATGGCCATCCAGCACACAGGCGCACCAGATCTTGGAGCCATCCCCGTCGAGGAAGTGGAAATAAAACCCGCAGTCCTACCGCAAATCCATCGATCCCATTTGCCCGAAACGAACTCCAGGTTTGACTCAGGCAAATGGAACTGGTTGGTACGGACTGCTGGGTGCTGGACTGGTGTCTGCATGTAAGCCAACGGCTTGGGTTCAAGACACGTGCCCAGTGTGGGCTATCCCAAGCAAACTAAGTCTACACTTTCTATATCCAACAAAAAGCAACGGGGCGAAACGCTGCGCAGGGAATGGTGGAAGAGCGGGGGTTGCAAATAGCTCCTCTACGGGCCCAACCACAGGGGATGGTATCTCCCCCGGATAAACGGGATATGAGAATATGCACCTTGTATGTGACCATGATGCATTTGGGTCAACATGTTGCATGACCCTTGCTAGGGCTTCGCGCTTGGGCCCTTGGACTTATTGCGATGCTAAGCAGAACTGATGCTATACCTGGAAAGCCCAGGGCTAAATTTCTGCGGCTTGTTGAAATTGCACTCATTTTTCGCCGTTGCAAAACAAGGCGTTTGGTGACCAAACACGCTGCTGGCAACCTGTCAATGTTCAAGAACTTCTGTGAACGGCCAAGAATGCTGCTTACCATGCTTGAGTGGCAACAAAAGGCGGAAATGTTGCACACTTTGAGATACCCAGGTCTGTACCTAGAATGCGCGAGCTAGCCATAGAAGCGCAAAAGTCTGAAATCTGCGTTCACCTAGACTTGGCTAGGCTGGAATTGTTTTGAACCCGCTACTCACGTCTGGACGTTCAGAATCGTGGGGAAGCATGGCCCTAATCGAAACCAAACCACATCCACATTGCTGAGCTGCTGTGTTCAGGGTCAAGCTTGGCTGCTCCGCATTGACTAACTTTCAGCGTTGCAGAATCAACTATCTAGGCAACATCATGCATATTGCAGTCCTGACACTACCCTGAAAATGTCGCCACAGCCGATGATCCGTGTAATCCCTCTGATTGGCTCCTTCCCGAAGAAAAGCTTGTAAGATCAAACCGCTCATGAACATGGCCTGGTTCGGCTGCATCTTGTTCCCCTTCTGGGAGACGAGGCCCACAGTGCCCAAGCCACCATTAAGCGGTAGTGCCTGAACAAAGCTGCCACTAGACATGCGGCAAAGCACGCAGGGAGTGAGCTGGACAGTATGTGTAGCGGGTTCCTGCCGAAACTTTGAGGACAAATCAATGACGTTCTGACGTTGAACCTTGGGTCGGGGGCCTACATCAAAAAAACTGTTTGACCTCGGCCATCTTCGGGCAATCACATTGGCAACCAGCCGGAGCATCGAGCCAAGCCACGATCACACAAAACCTTGGCAGGCATGCCTGCTGACACCACAGGTCTGCCCTCATGGGACATGGAATGTCGGGTTTTCCAGTCGAAAGCCCCACCTCATCTGCACCGTGGCTTTCCAGCTTCAGCACCTGCTTCCGAGGCATCTCGCCTGGCATCAGCTCCTCTGAGGTGTAGAGGAGAACCGCCTTGCGCGCCCGCATCTGCAGCTGGGCTTGGCTCGAGCATGACCCCACCGACGTCTGGTTGGGGAACCAGGAATAAGTTGGAATAAGGCCAGCCAGGTTGATTCTGACATAACAAGCTAGGGCAACTCAGTGCATCAAATTGGCTGCGGGTGAAAGTGAGCAACTACCCCCCCGCCTGCGACAGTCACATGGATCGATCAACATGCCTCGCCCTGCCTGATGGCTGGGCTGAAAGACAAGCTTCATGAGCATCCTGCAGGTGTCAGCGCGCAATGCTGGTTGACAACGGGGGGCGTTTCAAATTGGCCGGGGGATAAATGGATAAGAAGTTCTAATGACACGCTCTGAAATGAAATCCAAGGCTTCCCCTTGCTAGACCAGAACTCCAAACGACTGACATTATCGCAAACGAGCGTTCACGGGCCTGTACATGTAAATGTGAAGTGGCCACCTTTGCCAGGCAAATCAACTCATATCGACTCGACTATATTTCAACAAGTTTCCGCGACTTTGCAACCACCTACCTGAAACAACACAATTAAGCAGTGCTCCCCAACCTGAGCATATGCTCTGCACCTCATTTTAAGGACTTTAGACTGCCTTACCTCCTCCACAAACCTTCCGCCATTCTGCACATGGCCCCCTTCGCACGCACATTCCCCGAATATTTCCCCCCCAACATTCCCCCCCATATTCCCCGCCCTTATTCCCCCCCCACCCCGCCCTTATTCCCCCCCCACCCCGCCCTTATTCCCCCCCCCATTTCCCCCCCCCCCCGTGCAGTCCCCCCTCTATTCCTGTCCTCCAGTCCAGCTGTTCAGGGATGCCTTTGGCAAAGCGCTCCGCCGCCGCTGAGGGCACCGCCCCCATGGCTCACTTCAGTGCGCTGGCCGAGTCCTTGCTGCTTAATGCCAACCACAAGCCTATGCAATACTGTGGATGGACAAAATGCTGCACCACCCAAGAATTTCTGGAATGATGATTCCGCTGTAAATACCAACCAACAATGGTTGCCCATAAATTTCAGAGTGGTGCAGCGGTTCGTCCATCCACAGTATCAAACCAACTCCTTCACCTTGTGACATGCGGATAACATGCCCTGATCCTAGGTATCGATGAGTTCCACTGCGGTAGCCAGTGCCCGCCCCGCGAGCAAACAACTTCATCATGCCTCAAATCTGGGATAACCTATGACGGATCAGCTAACTATTCAACTCTGTGCCAGAAAAACGTGGGCTGTCAATTGCAATGTTAAGCAGCCTCCTCATGGTTTGAGCTATCAATGGCCACGCGATGGGCCGATACTGCGCTGCTGCCTGTAGGAGTGACCAGTCAATACAACGCTTGGAGTTGCAAGGCCATCTTTTCCCTGACGCTCAAACGATGCTGGCAGGTGCAAATATCCTGGCTGGCACTTGCATGCTGGGCTCCAAAATTCAAACCGCGGAAGGCCTGTGGCCGCATTACGTGAGCTTGTGTTGGTCCCCAGTAGTCAATCGACAAATGGACAGAATTCCCCCTGCGCATCACAGCTGATGCAAGAAACAAGGTATGCCGCCAGACAGATGTCCTCGGCAAATCCTTCCAATGTGAGCGCCATGGAGCGCCAAGCGTCGATGCCCATTACGACCTGCCGGAAGAGCAACGGACTTGTGAACTGCTTTGCATTTTGCTGCAACCTGATAGGGAAACCCAGCTGGCCGTAATCTGTTTACCCCATCCAGGAAGATAACAAACGTCATCTGAAACCGGACACCTCCAAATAGCTTCCGTTGCCACAAAGAAACCATTGCAAGGGCAAAGAAGGGGTGGCAGAAGCCACAGGCTCTGGTCGACAAGGGTTCCAGGCGAAGGTTTTCGGGGATGACTCCTCGGGGGAAACTAAGCAACCTGTATGGGCCAATGAAACGCTGTCGTGCTGCATGGCTCCACTCCGATTTTGCTTTGCCGCCCCTGCACATGACACAAGGAAGGGCAAAAACCACCTGGGTGACTTACCAACCCAAATCATTGAAAGTCCCAAGCCCGGGCGTGATCCTTTCTCGCTGCTTTGGTGATTCCACGCTTGTCTTTGAAAAGGTGTGGTATCCCGTGCTGGGCTTCTTGTAAACGTTTCGTAGTTGGCCTTTTTCACAGGCGCTGATGGTGGCATTGAAGCTAAATTCGTTTGCCTGCACCTTTGCTGCGTACATGTTTTCAAACAGCATCATCGCCTGCTGCCAGCTCCCGACCTTCTCACAAGCACTGATGGCTGCACTGAAGCTAACGACATTTGGTAAAGCCCCCGCTCTGGGCATCCCCTGAAACGATGCCAATGCTTGCTCCCATTGCCCATTCTTGTCGCAGGCACTGATAGTGGAATTCACGCTGACAACATCAGATTGCATCTTTGCATCAGGCATTGTCAAAAAGAATGCCACTGCACGCTGCCACTGCCCACCTTTCTCACAAGCGCTGATGACTGCATTGAAGCTGATCAAGCTGGCATTCGCCCTTGCTGCGGGCATATTTGCAAATAGAGCCAGTGATTGCTGCCAACGCCCACCCTTCTCGCAAGCACTGATGGTTGCATTGAAGCTGACAACGTCAGCTTGCACCTTCGCAGCAGGCATTGCAAAAAACAAAGCGGCTGCCTGTTGCCACTGCCCTCCTTTCTCACAAGCGCTGATTGTCGCATTAAAGCTGACAACGTCGGCTTGAACCTTTGCCCGATGCATGGAATCAAATACGGCCAGTGCCTCCTGCCACTGTCCAACTTTTTCACAAGAACTGATTGTTGCATTGAAACTGATCACGGTGGCATTCACCTTGGCAGCAGGCATGGATCCAAACAGGACCATCGCTTGTTGCCAATGTCCACCTTTCTCGCAAGCACTGATGGTGGCATTGAAACTCACAACATCAGCTTGCACCTTCGCAGCAGGCATTGCACCAAACAGAGCTACTGCCTGCTGCCACTGCCCGCCTTTCTCGCAAGCACTGATTGTTGCATTGAAGCTGACAAGATCAACTGCTACTTGTGTGGCCTGCATTGCTAGAAACAACGCCACTGCGTGTTGCCACTGCCCAGCTTTCTCGCAAGAACTGATGGCGGCGCTGAAACTGATAACGTTAGCCTGCACCCTTGTGTCAGGCATAGCTGCAAGAAGCAAGCAGGCCTCTCGCCAAGAATGGAGTTTTGAGCAATACGACATTGCGACGGTAAAATCTTTGGCATCCAATTGCTTCCGGCCCTCTATAATCACCTCCAGCACCCTGGGAAAAGCATCCTTTCGCTTCTTCCCTTCCAAGGCCGTCAAAATGACCGGCACAGGAACAGTTGGCGGTTCACCCTGCGTTTGTGGCCGGCGGCCTAGTTTCAACAGCGATGCGCTGTGCGTTGCAGGTTCTTGCCGGTCCGGTCTACCAAGCCTGCAACGTACACGGCCGGATCTCCTCGTACAAAGTGCTGCCACAGCCGCCGTGGCTTTAGTCACTGCCGGAGGTGAAGCTGCTAGCTGCTTGCTGGGCCTTGAGACAAACAGCATGCCAGGGACAGTGCTGCAGCACCAGGAACCGTGCTGCGGCCATGGCTCCATGGCGGGCCTGATGATGCAAATGTGATTCCGCGGCCTGTTTCGGGCAGCATGGAGCCTTCAGTTGGGCTACGCGCTGAGCGCTCACAAGTGTTGGCAAGCAGGGCAAAATGATTCAAGAGGAACTGCAAGCCCGTTCGAGCTCTTGTGTTGCTGCCTTCGTGCACCAACACTTTGCTAGGAGGAGTCAATGGCATTCTTAAGGAAAGCACCTAGTGCATGCCGATGACATGACGGTCTGCAGTAAGCTTGTCGAATCACGACGCGAGCGGGTCGTTTCGCAGGATACCTGATCCAAATATCGACCTCCCTTTCATCTTAAGCAATAAACAGAAACGCACGAAAGCAAAACACGCAAACAGGGAATGTAAACCCCTTCAGCTAGCGACACATACATCCGCACGTTCCCATCATCCTACATGCAAGTCCACCCGTCCATTTCCCGGTAGCAAACAAAAGGTCGAATATTTTTGCCGATGGTCAAAAAAGCTTGCCCGCAATACACACGCGCTCCACATCAACACTAAGCTGTTGCAAACGCGAAGCCATGGAACGATGTGTCGCAAAAGGATCCGCCGTTACCGCTGAAGTTCACAATGGACCTGCAAGAAGCCAAAGGCTGGTCGCGTTGATGGGGCAGGAGGAAGCATAGCTGCAAAGGTGCCATGAGGCAGCCCCCTTTTCAGCATGCGCAGGGTTCCATCTCGTCTGCTCAAGCGAGAAGAATCATTCTTCATGGATTCTGACCCGCCGCCAAGGTTTGGCGCTCGTCACCTATGCTCAGCAAGTTCGTCCTGGCCGCAAGCTCTTAAACCTGCCCCTGCACAACCCTGCAATGTTACTGTCAATGGCCTTTGTAAGCATTCATCAACTGGAAACCCGCGCACCCGTGGCACAGCTGAAGGCATGCAACCCCTTGCGTCGCATTTGTCCAAGTAAGTCCAATAATTGCTGCCTCTGCCCACCTTGCTCGCAAGCAATGATTGCTGGATTGAAGCTGGGCAAAGTGGCTTCAACCTTTGCGTCAGGCATTGACTGAAACAGACCCAGTGCCTGCTCCCACTGCGCGCTGTTCACGCAAACGCTTAGGGTCGCGTGAAAACTAATTTCCGTGGCTTCAACCTTTGCTGCCAACATGGCAGCGAACACCGCGAACGCTTCCTGCCATCGCGCTCGTTTCTCGCAAGCACTGATCGTTGCGTTGAAGCTGACCACATCGGCTTGCACATTTGACACGCGCATGGCCCAAAAAAGGGCTAGGGCCTGCTGCCACTGCCCACCCTTCTCACAAGAGCTGATTGTTGCACTAAAGCTTATCTCGTTAGCTTGCACCTTCGCCGCAAGCATGGCCCCACACAAAGCCACTGCCTGCTGCCACTGTCCAGCCTTTTCGCAAGCACTGAGGGTCGCATTAAAGCTGACAACGTCAGCTTGAACCTGTTCCCGATGCATGTAGTCACATAAAGCTAGTGCCTCCTGCCACTGTCCAACTTTTTCACAAGAACTGATTGTCGCATTGAAGCTGATCACGTTGGCAGCCACCTTCGCAGCAGGCATAGATCCAAAGAGAACCATCGCCTGCTGCCACTGCTTAGCTTTTTCGCAAGCACTGATAGTCGCATTGAAGCTGAAAACGTCAGCTTGCAACTTCGCAGCAGGCATTGCACCAAACAAAGCTACTGCCTGCTGCCACCGCCCGCCTTTTTCACAAGCACTGATGGTCGCATTGAAACTGACAACATCAGCGTGCAGCTGTGAAGCAGGCATTGCCAAAAGCAAAGCCAATGCCTGTTGCCACTGCCCTCCTTTCTCGCAAGCGCTGAGTATTGCGTTGAAGCTGACGACATTATGCTGAACCTTTGCCCGGTGCATGAGGCCAAACAGGCCTAGTGCCTCCTGCCACTGTCCAGCTTTTTCGCAGGCACTGATTGTTGCATTGAAACTGATCACGTTGGCAGTCACCTTTGCAGCAGGCATGGATCCAAACAGGACCATCGCTTGTTGCCAATGTTTACCTTTCTCGCAAGCACTGATGGTCGCATTGAAACTCACAACATCAGCTTGCACCTTCGCAGCAGGCATTGCCCCAAACAAAGCTACTGCCTGCTGCCACTGCCCGCCTTTCTCGCAAGCACTGATTGTTGCATTGAAGCTGACAAGATCAACTGCTACTTGTGTGGCCTGCATTGCTAGAAACAACGCCACTGCGTGTTGCCACTGCCCAGCTTTCTCGCAAGAACTGATGGCGACGCTAAAACTGATAACGTTAGCCTGCACCCTTGTGTCAGGCATAGC